CCCGTGCCTCCAGCGGGGGGACAGCTCAGAGCCCTTAGTGGCCAAGAAGAAGAGGGGCTACTTGGGGTATAGAGGAAGGGAGGGCGCTGCCCCCGGTGCAGGGAGAACCCGTGCCTCATGGTAACAGGAGGGTCCAGGAGTGAAGGCCCCCTGTGTGCGCTCCACCCTCCCCCTTCCCCCCTGCTCTGTGCTCTCCGCTGAGCCTCCGGGGGCAGTTGCTCAGAGTGGCCCAGGTGCTGACCCCGTTGGCACTGTGCTGACCCGCGCCCGGTGGCTTTCCTCCTTGTACCCAAAGAGAGGACCCTGTGTTTCAGGGGACGCCCTGGGTCAGCACTCGGTAGCCGGGTTCTGGGCCCGGCCAGCCCTGCCCACCTGCGGGCCCTTGAGCGAGGTTTGAAATGCGGGCGGGGCTAGGCCCCATCCCCAGTGAGATAGCTCTGTGCCTCAGCCCGTGCCTCTCTGAGACCCTCCCTCCGCGTAGAACCCCGTCAGCCAGAGGTCCCGAGCCGGCCGAGCGCTCGCCCCAGATGCACGCCCACCTGCCCTCGGGGCCAGGCCCCGACCCTGTGGCAAAGGCTTGGAATCGCGGGATGACGATGTTGAGTCCGTCAGTAACCCTCTGAAATCTCTCCCCTAGGATTATCATAAAATAATAAAAAACCCGATGGACATGGGGACTATCAAGAAGAGACTAGAGAACAATTATTATTGGAGTGCAAGCGAGTGTATGCAGGACTTCAACACCATGTTTACAAACTGTTACATTTATAACAAGGTGAGAGGACGCGGGCGGCGTGGGCCCGGGGGCACCTGGGCTGGCCCGGGCGCTTTGCACTCAGGCCCCGATCCCCACACGTGACCCCCACGCGCTGTGGGCCACGTCCCCGCGGGAGGGGGTGAGGCCTTCCAGACGGAGGTGACACAGACCAAGCGCTTTATTTTTTAAAATACGTTTTTACTGATTTCAGAGAGGAGGGGAGAGGGGGAGAGAGGTAAAACATCAAGGGTGAGAGAGACTCATTGGTCGGCTGCCTCCTGCTCACCCCTTCCTGGGGCTTGAACTGCGACCTCCTGGTTCATAGGTCAGTGTGCAATCACTAAGCCACACCTGCTGGGGGTTCTTAATGTTTTTAAACAGTTTCCACATTAAAATTTACTCGTTTTACCTCCCTCCTGCCCCACCACAATTTCGTTACAAGTTTTACTCACTGGTCTCAGAGAGGAAGGGAGAGACGTGGGTTTGTTGTTCCAGTTATTTGGGCATTCATGGGTTGATTCTCACGTGTGCCTTGACCTGGGGTGGAACTCGCCACCGTGGCGCATGGGAGCGAAGCTCCAACCTACTGAGCCGCCCGGCCAGGGCCTCTTAGCACAGCGGTTGCCAGCCTTTCAGTCCGCACGGACCACGGGTCGGCGACCGCGGTCTACGTTTCTAAGTCGATGTTTCTGAGCTCAGCCAGCGTGTCCGGCAGGCGCGCGGCTCCTTCCCCGGCATGTAACCTCGGCTCTCCCGTGTCTTCAGCCCACAGATGACATAGTGCTAATGGCCCAAGCCTTAGAGAAAATTTTTCTGCAGAAAGTGGCCCAGATGCCCCAGGAGGAAGTTGAATTATTACCCCCCGCTCCGAAGGGCAAAGGCCGGAAACCGGCTGCAGGAGCCCAGAGTGCAGGTAACGGTGCGGGTGGTCCTTCCGTCCCAGGGCCCGGCCCTCGGCCCCTCGGCTCCGCTCCCCGTCTGACGTCTGGGCAGTGGTGACGTGCACTCCAGGGCCCGGTTTCAGCCGTGGCCGCAGCCCGTCCGGGACACAGGGGCCTCGGTGGGGCCTGTCTGGCCTGGAGCACTCTGGGAGGAGTGTCGTCTTGCCACGTCCCATGCTCCTCCCGGCCCTGGCTCCGAGGCCTCCTCTTCTGGAGTCCCTGCTGCCCCCTTCCCCCCTGAGGACGTTGCCCCTTTAGCCTTATGTTCTCTCTGACGGGAGGGGCTGTGCCACCTGTTGGGGAGCCCTAGGGTCTCACCTGGTCCCGGAACCCGGCAGGGAGGTGCGTCCCGATGGAGAGGCGGCCGGAGGTGGTCGAGCCCTCGAGAGAGGCCGGGCGGGTCGGGTTGCAGGTGGGGACAGCGGGTGGTCTAGTAGCTCCGTGCCGGTCACTCCGACGGCTCCTGATGGAGTCGGGGTTATCCCCACTTCTCAGGCGCAGGCCTGGTCTTACCTGCCGGGCTGCGTGGCTTGTCCCGGCCGGAGGGGAGGCCCTTCCTTGTTGGATGTGCACCCACGGAGGCGGCCAAGGTGCAGGGCCTGTGTCTGGGGAGGCAGGGCTCCTTCGACATCAGGCCGGCTGAGGGGATGGTGCAGGAAGCTTCTGGAAGGACGGCGTTTGCCCCGCCTGCCCAGGAGCCTGGCCTTCTCAACCTCCTGTCCTGTCCTCAGGTTCGCAGCAAGTGGCGGCCGTGTCCTCTGTCTCCCCGGCGACCCCCTTTCAGAGCGTGCCCCCCACTGTCTCCCAGACGCCCGTCATTGCTGCCACCCCTGTGCCAACTATCACCGCAAACATCACTTCAGTCCCTGTCCCCCCAACTGCTGCCCCACCGCCTCCGGCGACACCCATCATCCCCGTGGTCCCTCCCACGCCTCCCGTCATCAAGGTGAGCGTCCAGGGTTCCTCAGGGTTCCCGGATTTGGGCAGGGGGGGCGGGCAGGCGGGGACTCTGCCGCCGTCCCTGGCCACCGGCCGTGTGCATGTCGGGCGTCTGGTGCACGTGACTTCTGGATGTTTCTCACCCGGCCTGTGATGCAGACAAGGCGACCGAGGCTCGGGGGCTGCAGGTCACATGGCTGGCGAGGGCAGGCTGCACTCGAACCCCAGCTTCTCTGCCCTGACACCCGGGCCTTGGCGGTGCACGGGGCCAGGTGGGGAAGGAGTGCGAGAGGAGGATGGGAGGGTCCCGGCCCATCCTGTGCCCCGCCCTGCGCACACTCGGATTTTCAGCCATCAGCGTGGGGAGGGCGATCGCCCCCCCCTGCATCGTGTGCCCCTTAGTGTGAGCACCTGCACCTTCATCTCCCCGCT